ATACCTCCTGTCTCAGAGATTTTGATATGTCATATTTCTGTTTTCATTTATTTGTAAGAATTTCTTCATTTTTTATTTCATTTATTCTATGATTCATTCCTCATTTAAAAGACTATTATTCAATATCCCTGTGTTTATGTGGATCATATAATTTTATTGCTGTTGATTTCTAGTTTCATTTCATTATGAACTCACAGGATTGAAGGAATAATATCAGTTTTTGGTATTTGGTCAGATCATACTGTGATCTAAAATGTAGTATATTTGGAAAAATTTCTATGAGCTGCTGAGAAAGTCAATTCAGCTGTTTTAGGGTAAAATGTTGTATTGATGTCTACTAGAACCATTTGATTTATAGTATTACTTAGGTCAGAAATATCCTTATTACTTTTATGTTTAAAAATGACCTCTCTATTGACTATGCTGGCTATTACCCAACATTATAGTATTGAGGTCTATCTGGGACTTAATGTCAAGAATAATTTTTTTAAAAATATAATATAGACAGGGTCTTGCTAAGTTGTTTAGGGCCTCACAAAGTTACTGGGTCTGGATTTGAATTTGCAATCCTCCTGCCTCAGCCTCCTGAGCCACTGGGATTACAGGAGTGCACCACTGTATCTGGCTGAGATATAGAAATCTTGACTGGCAATTGTTTTCTTTTAGAAATCAAAATATCTTATTGCAGGCCATTCTTGATTTTAGGGTCTGGATTGAGAAGTCACAAATGAGCCTCATTGATTTGACTTCAAATGTGTCCTGGTGATTTTTTCTTGTAGCTTTTAATATTTGGTTTTTATTTTCTATGTCAGGCATTTTTTTAATATCTTGGAGAGGTTCTTTTTTATCTTGTCTATCTAGAGTTGTATATGCTTCCTGTATGTGAACATCTATATTGTTTGTAAAGTAAGAAAATTTCTGCTATTATCTCACTGAAGATATTCTTAATATCTTTAGCATGCATTTCCATGTATCCTTCTATCTCAGTGACTCTTGGATTTGATCTCTTGATGCTGTCCTAGAGTTATTATATGTTCTGATTATTGTTTTTTATTTTATTTTTTCTCACATTGCATATTGAATATTCAAATTCCTATATCCTGGCTTCATAGCCTGAACTTCTGTCTTCAAGGTCTGGAATCCTATTTTCTACATGACCTAATCTGTTGCTGATACTTTCAAGTGAATTTTGAATTAGATTCATTAAGTCTTTCATGATCAGGAATTCTGAATGGTTTCTTTTCAATATCTCTATTTCTTTCTTAAGTAGGTCTTTCATCTCCTGTATTTGATCTCTTAATTTTCTCTTTGTATCTTTTCTTAGTTCACTGAACATTGAAGTAATTAGTTCTTCATAATCCATCTCTGAAATTTCATTCACTTTCACATCTCTAGATTCCTTTGTTGATGGATCGTGGATTTTGAGAGTACATTAATTTGCCTGTGTTCTCATATTTAAGAGGTCTTGAATTTGCACATCGCTGAAATGTATTCCTCTCCCTATTTTATACACATGTTTTTTTGTGTGTAGTTATCTTCTCTTATTCTAGGGATTTCTCTTTGTTTTTGATACATGAGTAGATGTCCTGAATGGAACCTTGGGTTCTCCTGTGGTTGTTCCTACTTGGGTCCTGGTGGTTGGCTAGGGTTTGTGTCTCTCCAGTTCTATTTGTTGAAGTATTGAGGCTTCCAGTGGGGCTTGTTCGTGTGTGGAGTGAGCTTCTCTCATGTTTGGCTTAATTGTGCATGTTGCTCAGCAGCAGGATATCTGCTCTGTGAACTTGAAATGTTCAAATCACTTTCCACCCCCACCCCACCCCTGCCAGAGGAAGAGGGAGCCAAGAATAGCAATAATGTTAGAAACAGGTGTAAAGCCTTAAGATAAATGTTTGGTAGCTACTTTGACATCTATAACACTAAATGCTGCCTTTAAGAAATGGAGAGGTCAGCATTTTTAACAGTAAAAAACCTGAACTAGATCATGCATTAGACAACCAGAGTCTACTGTGTTGTTCACTGTATTAATAATAATAAAAAAAAATTCCTTGCTCTAAAAAAGCTCTGGATAATTTTAGCTAAGGCAATACTTATGTGGTGTGAGTAACTCAAAGCTTGGGCCTGACAAGAGCAAGGTGTCCTGTTCTGCGTAGCAGAAGGCAGAAAGCCAATCATGGTGTGTCCAAACTATAGTCCCTAAGCAAGCACTGACTGCCAAGAGTTGGAAAACCCAAGTACAAATGCTAATTTTACATAAGCATGATAGAGCAGGAAAAGTTCACTAGAAAATAAATAATCCTTCTAAATAGTCTGCAAATATTGTGTCACTTTCTTGCTTCTTTGGTCATGAAGGTGATCCAGATTAACTACAATAGTTAGGACTAGAAGTCATTTATATAATATACAATTGTATGATATTTATTTAGATACATTTGTTTATATTTATATGATTATATGTTAAATGACTGATGTAATACAAATGTAGCAGAGTAAACAGAATATATAGAAATTGTTAGGGGTAGTATTAATATATAATATTTCTATGACAAGTAAGAAATCATAATATATGGATATAATGAAATGGAGATTATTAGCTAATTGCAATTTAAAGAAGTAAAAGCAGAATGGAACTCTGGCAACAACTTTTTGATTTGTTTTGTTTTGTTTTAGGACTCTGTGTCTTTTCTTTGTGATAAAGCACACTATATTCGATTCCCAGCACCACAGAACAAAACAAAAACCCTGAAAACCACCAAATATTTTTAAAATAATAAAAAATTTCACAACAGTCAAGTTTATTGGTCAGGATAATAAATTTTAATTCTTATAATGAAAAAAATAAAATCATTTGAGCAATTAATTTTCAGCATGACCACTTAATTCTGACTACAGAGAACAAAGTAAGAAGATGCACATATGTGCTGTATAATGTAATTCTGTATAAAATTCACAGTTAGATGCATTTAATGATACAAAATAAAGGAAGACAATATCATGGTGGAAATTCTTATTTAAAATAAGTAAAAACAATATTCACATGCATTAAACACTGCAAACTATCTCAGTGTATGCTTTCTTGTTTAAGTAATAAACTAATGAATTGTCATTGCTATAAAAAAGAATGAGTTAAATCACCAACATGCTGTTTATATGTCCCTGGTGGTAACTATCCACTTGACCTAACAACACTTCTGTTATTTAACTATTGCTATCCAGGGACAAATGACAGCAAAGCATATTTCATGAGAAATTTTGATTTCCCGAAGTTTCAAATTCTATAGCAAAGACCCAGTTCATGACAATTATTTATGTACCAAACATTGAAAATAATGATATAAAATTTTCCTTCAACCAAACAAGTTGATATTATTCTGTGTTGATATTTTGTACATTGTATGTTAGAACTTTTCACATTTCTATCTTGAAACACAGTGACTCTGAAGATGGCATCAGCCAAACCCTGACTTTAGATGAAAATCCTGGAGAGTATCACATTTTAAAATACAAAATCAGCTTATAAGCTTAGTGATTAAAGATATTGAAGTAGTTTTATTAGGTAAATTCAAAAGTATATATCAAAATTGTGGAGGTGAGATTGTGGTGTTAAGATATGGGATAGTGGAGAAATATACTAAATTTATACGAAATTAACTCAGTGCTGATGGGATAGGATAGAGTAGAGAGTAAAAAGGATGGAGTTTGGATGAACTTGATGGGAAAGGAAAGAAGTGGATTTGGAGAGGATTTGTGGTTTGGTATATGAGGAAAAATAAAAACTTTAAATTGAATTAAAATTTTCAGTGTGGAGGAAGAGAGAAAATGATAATTCAATAGCTTTAGGAAAAGTAATGAAACCAAACAGACAGAGTGTTTTGTTATTTCTAGATGACAGGTTCAAGTGCCCACGAGAGACTTCATGGAAAGCTATAGAAGGTGAATATACAGGAGGCTTTTGAGTGCCAAAGGGAGCATGCTCATTACAGTAGGAAAGACACAATAGGATTGGGGCTATAACTCCACAGAAATGTTAATAAAAACCCCGAGTGCATAGGACTTAGATTTTCTTCTTTGCCAATAATTTTCCTGCCACAAAAATAGCCTTTTTTGAGCATTAGTTATTGGTTGCACTGTGTGCAAAGCCTAATGACTAAATACAGATTTCAAATTCTCGCTATTTTTGGTGAGAGAAAAGTTTATCAAGTTATAAGATTAGGAAGTACATACAAAAAATTCCTGTGTTAGTCATTAGAACTTTCCTTTTCCATAAATTTTTTTCATGTGAAGTGTATTTAACACATGATTATTCAACTATTTTACTGATAGAATGGGTCACAGACAAAAGAAACTTTAAGCCAATCAAAATCAGGCAGGCACATTATGCAGTGTACTGTTCTTTGTTCAAAGACAGCTTGGCTCACTATTGATGGAGGTACTATAGGTACAAAAGGTGAATAAAGCTATGCCAACGGATGGAAGCACAGGACAGAATTGTATTATTATTGGTGATTTCTCAATGCTCAGTTGAGTGATCTTTATTAGAATCAGGTGTTTTTAACTCATTTTATATGTGAAACCCAAAAGTTGCTTGTTCTTTAATAACTGCATTTCTGAATCTGGTCATAGACTATAAAAGATATCACTCATACATGATTGCTACAAATAAGTGCAAACATATTCTCAAATAGATGGTCACTAAACTGGGGGAAAAACTGAGTTTATGTGATTAGTAGTATGATAATTTGTAGTTAAATGAGGAATAGTTAGGGCTCAAGTTATAGAATAAATTCACATTAGCTAGTTAATAAATTGTACCTAGAATAAGCAATTCAACCAGATTAGAAGAGGAATTCTGATACAAAATGGATTAATAGCAGGTATAAGACTAGGAAATTACTTAATTAACAGGTTCATTAACAATATGTTAGCAAAGGGGAAAATAGAAGCCATAGTGAAATGCTTTGTATAAAATATTTAGTAGAATTAATGCTTTCATAGAATAATATTTATATATTTTTAACAAAAACTTCTTCAAATAGTATTTTTACTGGCTGCTTCTTTCTTTTTCTTTTTGTTTTAATTAGTCCTTCTTTTGATATTCTTTGGATGAAACCTGCAAAAGGAAAAACAACACATTTATGAATGATAAGGAACAAAATTTCTTCTAATATTGAACATAGAAATGTGATTAGTTTAGCTAGGCACACCTGTAATCCCAGCAATTCTGAGGAATGAGGATCCAAGTTTGAGGCTAGCCTGTAAAATTAGTGAAACCCTATCTCAAAATTAAAAAAAAAAAATTTAAAAAGCTCAGAATGTAGCTCAGTTGTAGAGGACCCTGAGTTCAGTTCCTAGTAATTTAAAAAGAAAATAAAAGGTGATCAGATTAAAAGAAAGTGATTTTGCATACATATATGAAGACATGAATGGTGTGAATATACTTTGTGTACAACTAGAGATATGAAAAATTTTGCTCTATATGTGTAATACAAGTTGTAATGCATTCTGCTATCATATATAGCAAATTAGAATAAAAAATTTTTAAAAAAGTGTTAGCAAAAACGGATAACCATGTCCTTCACAAAGGATTCCATGCTCAACTTATTTAGCAGAGTAGAAATGTGGCTGTAAACGATTGGTGGAATTATGGATGATTCTTATCTTTTTTATATTTTCATAGTTTCTACTCCATTATAAACATCATTTTATATTCAGAAAAAATAGTATATATGTTAAAACTTTGTACTTTGCCAAAAAGCTTAAAGGAATTTTGGTATAATTCTTTAAAATAAATTCTTAGTACATAAGAAATTGACAAAGAAAATGAATAAAGTTAATGAATTTGTCTTAATTGCTTATTTTTCAATGATGACACATCAAGAGGAATTATGGTTAATGTATCATGTGACATTATCTAAATTTAGTTGAGAAGAGAATATTTATTAACTAAATCACCATAATTTGTTTTGTAAAATAAGGGGAACTAATTTCATATTTTGATAGATTAAAATTCATTTATAATTTCAATACAGTTGCTATTCTAAATACAATTGAAAGAATATTTTCTTACCTTTTTTACATGACCTAATACATGCTCTTTTAGAAGTAAAATTATTTTCATTTCCACCACATCCACTGTACTTAAATGGGCGGCATTTCCCAATGACTGAATTAAAGTAGTATCTCTTTTCACTGGCTTGACACAGTCCTCTGTCTGCTGGGGTGAGACACCATGAGGGACCATGAAATTCTAAAAACATTAAGAAAACATGGTAAGTATTTTGTATGTAATAGAGAATATTACATATGGTTTATAAATTATTTCTTTGTGGCATGTCTATATAAAGTGATAATCTTAATGAATAAATGTAATACATTAATAAAATTTATGATTTTAAGTTGCTAAAAATGCCTAACTGACTGCAGATATACATAATACTGAGGTCTTTCTCCAATGAATATTTGCTGAAGAGAAGTGTGTGACATATTTGGTGAATGGACAAAGTAGCCTTGCATGGTCAAAGTACTGGGCATAACCCAAACAACCACTATTTAATAACTTCTAAAATTTTTAAAATATGTGTGTAGTTATACATATATAAAACTATGAACATTTATATACACTTTGGTCATTTATGTTCAACTCAGAAAACAATTTTGATTAGCAAAGTCTCACTTGCCTCATTTACTGTATGACTCAAACACTGAAGCTGGAGACAAGTTTTTTCTCTTAACTAAAAGCATTCTGAACATGGTAATGAAATAACAATTTCAAGTACAGCCATTTAGGTGTAGTAAATTTTACACTTCAAGGAAGGAGCCCAGAAGAGATGTTTGTCTCAATGACAACATTTTTCTCATGAATGGAAGCATCGGTTCTGAATAAGCTAAATGTATTTGAAAAGGAAGCAACATTGCTTCAATGATTAAAATATAACACAAGTTTATACCAGACAGTCAGGGTGATCTGTCAATGGGACTAATTAGTTTCAAAAACAGAAGAAAAAATGCAACTAGGGTAATGATAATAATAATTTAAAAAACCCACTCACTTCTGTAAAGCAATGAAGAGAATTAGTTTTAGCTTAATATGGTGTTTAGCTTCTTTGGGAATGTCTATCAGTAAATGGAAGCTGGCACTCTATATTAAACCAGCTAAACTGCTTGATATAAATAAGGCAGTGCATAGGTAAGTTGCCTAGTGGTGGTGAATCAATGTTAGAAAACTTTAGTGCCTTTGCCAAATGATGACATGTGATACAGCACATGTAGATGAAGATTTGCCATATGTCCATCATTGTCAGAAAACTGAACTTTGGGGAAGTAGTAACCAAGAAGATACATAGTTTGTGTTTAAAACAAGAAGCAGTCCTTTGGCAAATGAACCCCAGATGAATAGACTGTAAAAGCAGAGGAGTAAAATGAAGCAAAGTGAGCAAAAAAAAAAAGAAAAGAAAAAGAAATCTGAATTCAATAAATACATTTTTTGTCATTTCTTGATTTCTAAATATTTAGTAGATTAGAGTGTTTTGATATAATAATTCAGGAAATAGAGAAAGAATTTGGAAAATACGTAAATGAGTAAATACTATGGGAAGAAAATATGCAAAAAAGTTTTAGAATGACAATATTTTTGAATGAAATTCAAGAACTATAATCCAATTTTCTTATTCAGGTCATTGACTAGGTATATAAACACCATTTTTGTTTATTTATTTATGGTACTCAGTTATACAGATTAATGGATTTCATTGTGGCATATTTGTGCATCCACATAACATAATTTGACCAATTTCATTTTCCAGTACTTCCCCTTGTCCTAACCTTCTTCACCTGACCCTTTTCCTGTACCCTGCAACTCTCTCTTCTGGTTTCATGAGACCCTTTTTCTCCTTTTTTTTTTTCTCTCAAGCATCCATATATGAGAGAAAACTAAAAACTCTTTACTTTCCAAATATGGCTTATTTTGCTTAACATGATGCTTTTCAGTTCCATTCATTTCCCTGAAAATAACATAAATTTGTTCTTCTTTATAGCTGAATAAAACTCTTGTATATATATGCAATTTCTTCACCCTTCAACTCTTGACAGACATTTAGGCCAGTTCCATAACTTGACTATTGTGAAGTTCACTGCTATAAACGTGTAAATGTGTATCTCTACAGTATGTTGACTTTCATTTTTTTGAGTATATACCAAATAAATAAACACTGCTTTTAAAAGAAACTTCTAGGATTAGTAGAATGAAAACATTCTTCATAATCCTGTAGTCTAGACTTATTCAAAATACATTATCTGTTATTTTAAATTATTGGACATCACATGTATCATCTTAAGTCAAAGTTAAGATGCACTTGGTGAAAATATGTTCTAAGTGTTCTATAAAATATTGACATTTCCTGTCATTAAGAATGGTTTATGTGAGAGAATTCTACCAGTCTGGGAGAGGTATGTTGTAATCAGGTCTAACTATCACATAAACTATTCCAGTGGACTATCAAATTTTCATATTATAGAATATAAAGTGGTTATCAAAAGTTAGCATTCAATGCCATCACCTACATTAAGAAAGAAAGCAAAGAGAGTAGAAGCAATTTCCATAATTAGATAAACATAGGAAATTACTATTCTTGTTATTTTTTTTAGCAAGCACTCAGGTGGCTTATATGATTAAAATAATATGACTTATACATCAGTTTCACTTTAGCATTTTGTACATAAAATGTATCAGCCCACAGTAAGTTGCAGATAACATATGTGAATGTGCTTGTAAATTTGTTAAGAATATGCTTATCAACAAATATTATTAGCAGCAATACCTTCCTTAAAGTCCCTTATTTCAAGATAAAGAAAAATTTCTGGGAGAACACACCTTCTTCTTTCCCTCAATACAACAATGTGTAGTAAATAAATTGACCCCCCCAAAAAATCAAGGTAGGTTCCCAACTGTGGGCATGCTATCCTAGTACATATGGGCATGGACCTTAGGCTGGTGGTACTGCAAAAGGAGACTGCTATCAGAGAATAAGAGCCAGGAACACTAGTTGATAACTATAACTAGAAGAGACTGTTTCAGCAGTGGTGAATCCATGGAGGACATGTTGCAGGTATAGTGGGGACATTTATCATGGCTTCTGTTTTTTTTTTTTTTTTTAACCATTCAGCAATCTAACAATGTTTAGTAATGACTAAACCTACTGAGAAGTCAGAGGGAAAGTATTCCCCATAATACAGCACAGGGCAGGAGGAAGGCAGGCTTGTGGTTTGGGAACAATTGATTAACGGTATAGATACCATCAGAGAAAATTTCCCTACCAGTTAAATTATCCAAGGTACCAGATACTTTTTGTGATTTCTGACTCTGAGAGTGTCCAGCTGTTGGCTCTAACAGCCCGGATCTGTTAGATCTGTGTGCAGATGTGCATTGCTCCTCTTGGAGGATGCCAGCCACTACCAACACAAAGACCCTAACAAAGGTACTTGGCTTGCTCTATTTGATTTCCATCACTGCTTACACAGATAATCAAACACAACACAGTTTTGACTAAGTCAATAATTTAACCTTAGAATCTAAATTTCTAAGACTAGACATAAGAATATTTCCATAGTGGTTTAGAATTTGAAATTAATCACTGAGGATAATGTTTTAAAAGTTCAATACAATTATCATCCATTTGGGAGTTTTTATAAGGTAAATAATCTTCAGAACATGAATTATAACTGAAATGTATTTAAGATACATTTTAACTCTGACCCACTATCATTGGGTTAATATGGAATAAACCACAGTAGAATTAAAATAAGGAAGTGGATAATTTCTTAAGAACATCCTAGCCTCAGGAATTTTGAGTCCTTTGTTAGAATTTAGTTAAGTCTCCAAAGGTAAGGAAATTGAATTTTTTGCACCCTTCAAGGAGATAAGCTTGACTATTTTCAGTTAACAAAGTATTCTAGAAGTAATAAATCACCTATTCAAAACTCAGACTTTTATAAAATCTACAATAAAAGAAAATGTACAAGGATTGAAGTAATTGTGTAATGTGATTTCTTTGATATAGATCAAAATTATTCACAGAAATTTAAGATAAAATATGAAGCCATTAACCTCACCATTATTCATTTTCAAAAGATAATTTAGTAACCAAATGCATTCTGTCTTGATCCTACCATTATTATTAAGTTGAATAACTTCTGTGTAGAGGATTTTGATAGGTTTCAGAATTCAGATTTACCCCACATTTTTTTTTTCCTGTCAGCAATAAGAGTGATCCAGTATGTTAGCTAAAATGTAAGGTGGTGTATCAGATTCAGTTTCACAGGTAAAGTGGTTTATGTAAATTTACTTTGAATTTTGTACAGGAAGCATTGAATCTTATATTCACTCTGAATGTTTATTGTAGGGTCTTATTTTTTTCCATTTTACATGCTCTTTAAGGTTTTATTTTTAAAGAATTGAATATTTTCATTCTTTTATGATTTTTCCCATATAATTTTTCAATAAAGAGAAAAATAAATTTAAACAATTATTATAAATTGCCTTTTTAAATTTTCAAATAATATAATAGTACAACAAATATAAAACAAAAGTTCCTTGTAATTTGATTCTTGCACTTCAACCATACTCAATGTTTGGGTAAACATTTTCTCCAAAATGTTTGCATATGCAAAACTATATTAATACACTATTTTACATCTCATTATTCTACGTGACAATATTTTGTGGATATGTTTACATATTTTATCTGTGCACAGTATTTCATGTTATGAATGGATTGAAGTTTATTTAGTCAATTCATTTCTCATGGATATATATAGATTATTTCTATTAATCTTTTATTTTCAGTTCCAGACAATAGCTCATGAATGTCTCTGTACTGGGCCAGATGCTTTTGGAGGATATATTTCTAAAAGTGCAATAGTATAAAAATTACGTTCAGCTTATAATCTGGCAAGTGTTGCTGAAATTTTCAATAAAATTTTACAGAAGTTTATATGCCTATGATGATGTTTAAAAGTATATAAACATTATTTAATGAAACAAAGACCTCACTTCTATGCCTTTATTAACTATGCACCACTTTTTATTTCCTCCCCACACCAATGAAAATAGAAGTGTACTAAATGGAACAGGTAATTGTTTACAGTTCTCTGAGGTTTGACAAAGGATCACTTACACAGAATCTAAGGTGACATTAAATTTAAAATGCATTATTTTATTTACAATTTACAAATAAACAAAAAAACACACTG